CCACTCTGTAACTTTTTTTTTTTTTTAATATATTTTATTGAATTTTTACAGAGAGGAAGGGAGAGAGATAGAGAGTTAGAAACATCGAGAGAGAAACATCGATCCGCTGCCTCCTGCACATCTCCCACTGGGGATGTGCCCACAACCAAGGCACGTGCCCTTGACCGGAATCGAACCCGGGACCCTTCATTCCGCAGGCCGATGCTCTATCCACTGAGCCACACCGGTTACGGCCCAAGCCTGGTTTTTTACTTTGGTTCCCCTCCTGCCTCCCAGCCCACCCTGGAGGAGCTGACGTCGGTGGGACTGAGGGAGACCACCGTGCTCCCACTGCGGGGCGGGGCGGCAGCAAGTTAGTGAGGGACCGAGGGACGGAGTGGGAAGCAGGAGGGAGGGCATGAGCTGCCCTGCAGTCTTCAGGAAGGAGACCTGACTGTGCCTTTGAAGATCGCTATCACCCCCTCTTCTCTCTTCGGGCTGTCAGGTGACTTCTCTCAGCTACTGAGCCATGGCTCGGGGCCCAGAGGGAGCAGGGTGAACGAAGCTGTGATCAGAGAGATGCCTATCTCCTTCCTGTTTAACATCGACTTTCCTGTCAGATGAGTCACTTGTGCCCGCGTGGTGCCCACGGCCCGAGGCTCTGAGAACTCACCAGGGTGGTGGGAGTGGGCCCGGAGGCATACAGAGAACTGGGAGGACGGGGATGTGGGCAGCAGGAGGAGCAGGAGGGCTGTTCAGGGAGCAGGGTGGCCCTTCTCCTGCTGTTACATGGCAGCTGATCTGCCCCCTGCCAGCCTTCATTTCACTGAGCGGCCCGTTTCCTCCCCCACTGGGAAAATGCGCTCCCCGTCTCTCTTAAGCAAATGGAGTGGGGCTGAGGATGTGTGCTCTGGGCAGCCTCTGGGACAGGACAGATGAAGCTCTCAGTGCGGTAGAGGGACATTCATGGCCACGTGTGCCTCCGTTTCTCCATCTGTCCACGTGTCGACAGTACAGATCCATTCTCGGGGGTGTTTTCGAAACCCCCAGCTCCTCAGAGTGGTGTGTAAGGCCTGGTGGTAAGAACAGGCGAGGGAATAAATAGTCCCTCTTCTGAGCCGAAACCGGGGCGGCCAGGCCCGCAGGGCGGCCAGCTGTCGGTGTTTTTCACTCAGGTGCCTCACGGCGGGAACTGAACATCTGTGTGGTTTGTCTCTGTGTCTGTGAAGGTTCAGGAAGACGTGGAAGCTGCAGGCCCTGAAAGAAGAGGGCAGCCTCTGGGACAGGACAGATGAAGCTCTCAGTGCAGTAGAGGGACATTCATGGCCACGTGTGTGCCTCCGTTTCCATCTGTCCACGTGTCGACAGTACAGATCCATTCTCGGGGGTGTTTTCGAAACCCCCAGCTCCTCAGAGTGGTGTGTAAGGCCTGGTGGTAAGAACAGGCGAGGGAATAAATAGTTGTCCCTCTTCTGAGCCGAAACCGGGGCGGCCAGGCCCACAGGGCGGCCAGCTGTCGGTGTTTTTCACTCAGGTGTCTCACGGGGGGGACTGAACATCTGTGTGGTTTGTCTCTGTGTCTGTGAAGGTTCAGGAAGACGTGGAAGCTGCAGGCCCTGAAAGAAGGCAAGACAAGCATGCACCCGCCGTATTCTTTGGGACAGCTGGTCCCCGAGAGGCCGAAGCCCACCCCGGTGCTGGTCCCCCTCATCTCCCCGCCGGTGTCCCCCAGCAGCCTGGGGTCGGATAACACCTCGAGGCACAGCCAACCCCATGCCAGCGGCCCACAGAGCCCGTATGACATCAGCAACAGAGACTACTTCTTCCCCCAGTAGCTGGCTGGCTGCCTGGCGCCTGGCGGGCTGGGGTGTCAGACCTGCTGGAAGGTGTGGATGACAAAGCACAAGCTGCTTCTCACGGTTGTTCAGCTCATCTCAGGTGTGTGGGCCTCTGGCTGCGCGGTCACCGAGGGGCCTCACAGCAGGTTCTACGCTGGTGAGCACAGGTGTGCCGCCCTGTTCCGAAGGAAGAGGTGGTTGAGTTTTTGAACCCCTCTTCCCCACCGCCCTGCCTGCAGGGGTTCCAATGAACGCGGGCCCCGTGCAGGGAGCGCTGTCGAGTCCACTGGACACTCGGGTGGGCAGAGCCGGGCGTCCGCAGAGGCCTCGGACCCGGGGCTTCGTGAGGACAAGCTGCCGGCCCCCGGCTCACCTGACCTGGCTCCACACGCCGCACCCTCAGGAGGTGGGCTGGATTCCAGCCAAAGACACCCCCCCCTGGAGTCGCCTATCTCCTGGCCCCACGGCACAGTTTCACCTTCTAGCTCAAACTCTTGCAGCCCAAGTGCCTTTGCAATTCAGTTTCTTCGGTCGCCCAGGCTGGGGGTGCTCCCGACTGCCTTTCCTCTCCTCCCCGCGCTGGATCCAGCTGAGGGGGCGAGAAGAGCATCTCAGGACCAGGTGGTGTGAAGTGGAGTTGCAGCGAGCTCCTCGTTAGCATTCTGCTCAGTGTGAATGTTAACCCTCCGCACCT